TCCCCACAAAGTGTCGGTCCCATGTCGGGTTTTGAAACCCACAACACTCGGGTAGTAGGAAGCGTCGTGGCGACCGCTAAAACACTACGTCATAGTGCAGGCTTTGTTTAAGAGTCGTGTCCACACGAGTGACTATAAAAAGTAATGCTATAAAAAAAAGTACAATCAGAATGTAAACAAAAATATATAGGTAGCAGTGATGATTTAAAATATAATCAAATCATTGCTCGTACCATCCAAATTCTAAAACCACTGATACCAATAAACCAATGTATAGGGCATTATAATTTTAGAAAGCTAAATTCCAAAGTATTAAGTTCAGAAAGCCATACCTACTAAATGTCGACGAGCCAATCGTCCGGGACGGACACAAAATTGCTACTGGCATAGTAAATTAGCCTCTATAGAGGCCAACCCTTGATAGCAAAGCAGGTATTTACATAAAAAAATAATTAGATCCGGCGAGTGCTCGTGTACAACACGCCAACACAAAGCTAACGCCACTCTAATATTGTAATACCTGACCGAAAGATTCAAATATGCCCACGATAAACATTTAATCACCGCTTCGGTGATTTTGTTGTTACATTGGATTATAAATTTTAGATGATGAATCCGTCTCTCATCGTGGAGAACAATATTCTGGCACAAATGATGGGCGGAGTTGATAATACGCCTGTGACAGAAGACCGGTGTTTAAGCAATCTTATGGTTTCACAGACAATGAGGTGTTTAAACGAAAGTCCAAACACTTTTCTACGCGACAATGCACTTGCGGACTCTTGCGTTTCAGGAGTCCTTGGGCGCCGGTAGTCACTTACCATCAGGGCGACTTGCCTGCTCGTCCGTCCCCTATACCATAAAGATTTTTGTTTTTTTTTTCGATTTGAAAACTTCCGATATGAATAGATATCTATGTTGTACGTATGTACTGTATTTCAACCCAAACAATGTAATGTAATTTCAATGTATGTATTTCAACCCAAACTCAACTCCTGTGCGGTAATCCGCTCGTATATCACCGGTGGGGTGATTATGTCGGACTCGAAACGACCAAAAACACCGCACGCCGTCTCGGGTACCAGTAGCCTCGGAACCAAGTATACCCTAGAAAGGAAATTATTCCCTCAATTTACCCTCCACACCCTCCGAGTGTTGTGGGTTTGAACCCACAACACTCGGCGTAGTAGGAAGCGTCGTGGCGACCGCTTAAAACACTACGTCATCAGTGCAGCTTTGTTTAGAGTCGTCCAACTGTGACTATAAAAAGTACTGCGATAAAAAAGTACAATCAGAATGTTAAACAAAGATATATATATATATACCTATATATATATATATATCTTTGTTTAACATTCTGATTGTACTTTTTTGATTGTAATTATATTTTTAAAATTCAATCACTGCTACCTAGAAGTGATTGAATTTTAAAAATATAATTCAAATCATTGCTCGCTATCCATCTCAAATTCTAAAACACTCATACCAATAAACCAATGTATAGGGCATTATAATTTTAGGAAGCTAATATTCCAAAGTATTAAGTCAGAAAGCATACCTACTTAAAATCGTCGACGATGCCAATTCGTCCGTGACGGACACAAAATTGCTACTGGCCTAGTAATTAGCCCTCTATAGAGGCAACCCTTTGATTAGCAAAGCAGAGTATTTACATAAAACTAATTAGATACCGGTCGGCAGTGCTCGTGTACAACACGCCAACACAAAGCCTAACGCCACTCTAATATTGTAATACCTGACGAAATATTTCAAATATGCCACGATTAAACATTTAATCACGCTCTGGTTGATTTTGTTGTTACATTGGCTTATAAATTTTAGATAATAAATACCGTCTCTCATCGTGGGAGAGCCATTATTTGGCACAAATGGACTGGGCCGGAGTGATAATACGGCTGTACAGAAGACCGGTGTTAAGCAATTCTTAGTTGGTTTTCACCGAATGAGTGTGTTTAACGAAAGTTCAACTTTTCCTCCGCGACAATGCACTTGCGACTCTTGAATTTCAGGAGTCCTTGGGCGCCAGTAGTCACTTACCATCAGACGACTTGCCTGCTCGTCCGTCCCCTATACCATAAAGATTTTTGTTTTTTTTCGATTTGAAAATTTCCGATATGATATCTATGTTGTACGTATGTACTGTATTTCAACCCAAACAATGTAATGTAATTTCAATGTAATGTATTTCAACCCAAACTCAACTCCTGTGCGGTAATCCGCTCGTATATCACCGGTGATCATGTCGGACTCGAAACGACCAAAAACCGCACGCCGTCTCGGGTACCAGTAGCCTCGGAACCAAGTATACCCTAGAAAGAAAATTATTCCCTGAATTTACCCTCCACACTCCTAAGAAGGTTTAGCATCAGGCACACGACCGCTCTAAATCATTGCCAACGATAAAATTGTAGTAGGTACTTCTACAAATTCTGAAGCGATATAACTTCCTCGATGCTTTACGATAGTAGGAAGTGTTCAAGTCATTTAAAATGTGTACCCATTTGTCAGTCGCCGTCTGCTCTCTTTAACTTCGTCCTTCAACTCGATGGCTCAGATTGAAGCAAGTTGCCCGGGAGTTATTCAAACTGTTACTAACTTTAAGATTTCAATTACCTCTGATGTCTTCTCTATAGACTAAGTTTTAAATCATTGAATTCCTTTAACTCTTATCATCAACTATTAATATCGTGGCTTCACATCTTGTAATTTCTTGGTTTTCACTGAATCATATTCTTCATCTTTATAACCGTCGGACCGTCAGGACTTGGCATAAATAGGCGGCTCGATTATATTGATACCACAGCCATATGATTATATGATTACCAAATGAATGAGGATATCGAAGGACCAACATCCTCCTACCCTCTTTACGATGATTCTGGTGGAACTACTCAAAGGCCGTCAACGTACTTATTCTTGAAGAGTTACCGTCTCTATACCATAAAAAATTAAATTTCTTTTTTATTACAAAAGCAAAATTTTGTTTTCATGTAATTAAATAACGCTTACAAAAATAAATGATTAAAAAAGTATTTAAGTATTTAAAAAGAGAGCTTTAAAAATCCGAGCGTACTGCGATTTGCAGGATTAGCATTAATTAAAACTGACGCTGGAAAAAATTGGATTGGTCACGTACATGTTGTCTGAGCTTCTAATTTATATGCAAGGTTAGTGCACAAGATGGAGACAGCAGACAGCTGGATCGATATTGCATTGCATAGTGATCCGTGACAAATATCGCGTAGCTTTTCTAATCTTGTAAAAAGAAAATTTCAAAGTATTGACATATATATTTTCCAATCCATACTAATTTTATAAAGAGGAAAGATTTGTTTTTTCTTTTATGTTTGTAATGAATAGGCTCTGAAACTACTGAACCGATTTTGAAAACTCTTTCACCAATGGAAAGCTACATTGTCAGCAAGTAACGTAGGCTATTTTTATTACCGCGATAAACCTAGTTCTTTAAATAAATTTGTACAAACGTCTATATTCCTGCACGGATGGCGTAGTGGTTTAAGTGGTCGCCACGACGCTTCCTACTACGCCGAGTGTTGTGGGTTCAAACCCTACATAGGACAACTGGGTGTTCTTTGTGTCCGTTTCATGTATGTTTGTAAAGTCCCCCGCGACACAGGATATATTCCTACTGCGGGAGTTGTCTTTTTTTTTTAAATAAAAATAAAATAATAATTCCCTAAGAACTCTTAATAGAGGGCAACTATATTGTCGTCCACTGGGTTTAGGTATTAAATGGGTAAATTGGGAGTTCGTAGGAAAGAAGTATTTGATTGACTGAAAGTGATAAAGTGTACAGGGTCACTTAGTCATAGATGGGACATATCGATATTTATGTGTATACTTTTACTGTTTGTTACCCAAATAAAAAAAATGCCGAGCCCTTATAGTATGGGGGAGGCAAACGAGCACATGGGAATCGAAACCTCGACCTCTCGCTTAACTATCGTGGTCACAAACCACTATACCAACAGACCAGAAAAAAATACCGGTTTAAAAACACTTCGCTATTTAAATTCACAACTTATAAAAATAATCTAAATTATGAAGAAGACTTCCGCAGCATAAACATACTCGTATGTAATGCCAAGACAGCGGTTTCATTCGAGATTGTGATAATATTGAAATATAGAAATTCAAGATGGCGGGTCTCGTACGTAATATTAGCTATTTGTGAAAACACTGAACTCAAATGTTATTGCACGACCATTGTTTCAAATCGTTTCTGCTTCGGCACTCAAATATGTAACTGAATCTCTTTAGCCACTACCATCTAGTCGAGTGTGAAGAACTCCTTCATTTTAATTAAGTATGAATTAATCCAACAGTCGAGAAATGTGTAATAAAAATGGACGTGTGTGTTTAAAGAAATTACCACTTTTCCAGACCGATATGACTTTTAACACAAAGGCGCACTTCTACCAAAAACGCCGGGAACGTACTCTTGACTGAGTTTCTTTCGCTGACCCGCTTGTGGTCGTTTGCTCTTTATATCATGAGAAAGAATTTTAAAATTTCACTCTATTTTCAATCAATCAATTTCAATGATGGATTGATTGAAGGATAAGCTCGTAGGAATGCCATTTTTGACATTTGAATAGAAAGATATATGTACGGAAAGTCTTGTGAAATTACATTCACATATATTTAATATACACATTAAACCTTTCACTCTGTCAGTGTGATAACCTGACAGCCCAATGTAAGTGAAAAATTCTTGGCGTCAGCAGAATACCAGCGCTCTTCCTCGAAGTGTTGTACCGCTGCGCCAACAGCCATTTTTTCTCATTGAATTGTATTTTGTCTACATGTATTACGTTTGGTGTGTTTAAATTGCAGTAATGGTTAGAAGCCCTCTATACCTCTAGGCTCCCTCCCCTCCCTCGAGGACTATTAAATGATCAAATTTTGCCTTTTGTGTCTCTCGAGTCTTCGATAGTAAGTGAGTAAATATGTTGCAGGAACGGAGCGGACCCGGCTACCGAGAACAAAAAGCCGGAGGACGAGGTGAACGAATATCTGATGAAGGCCATTGACGCGCGCTCCATCGACCGACTCCGCGCCGAGCACTGTAAGCCCTTCACGCTCACCTTCCGTGATGACAAGCTGGAGAAAAAGGTAAGCCACTGCTTATTCACAATATACACGTGAATCAGTTTTGAGACCTAAAGTATACTGCAGAAGTGCAATAATACTAAAACATTTAAATATATCATTAAAATCACTAAGAAGTCTTACTGAAATAAATAAAAGGCAATGGCAGGTAGATAGAGTTAAAATAGTACCCATTGTCATGTCTACAACTGGTGTAGTCCCGAAGACTCTTCGAGATAGCCTCAATACACTGGAAATGCCAAAATCCTCTCTCACACTCATACAAAAAGCACCCCTTCTTAATACACACCGTATCACACGCAAATTTCAAAATAACACACAAGAAACTAGATGCAAACCGGATTACAGCCAATGCTTTCAGCTGTCAGTTTCTCTGACGACTGACGCTACTTTATTATGGGTTACCCGCACTCCAAGTTTATTTTCAGAAATAATTACAGAATAAATTTAATATGTCGAATGAAAAGAGAGACGGCTGTCAACGCGCTGTCTTTATATATTAGAAACGGCGCGAAAAAAAGCAACGCCATTTTGCAAGCTTACATACATATTATATGTTTAAGTATGCTAAAAGGGTCGAAAATCTATTCGAATCTTTGGCTCCTTGGGACACCAGAAGCCAGGAGTATGTGGTGTTTCCACTAACTGTCGGTTGGCCTCAGCCACCCTACTCTGAAGAGAATCCGGACCATATGATTCCAGGTCCTACCCAAATTGACGCCGCGCCTGACCAAGCCCTATCCCGATGTAACACATGTTTGACTGCACGGATGGCGTAGTGGTTTAAGCGGTCGCCACGCCACTTACTACTACGCTCAGTGTTGTGGGTTCGATCCCCACATGGGACGACACTTTTTGTGATCCACAAATTGTTGTTCTGAGTTTGGGTGTTCTTTGTGTCCGTTTCATGCATGTTTGTAAAGTCCCCCGACACAGGATATATTCCTAATGCGGGAGTTGTCTTTTTTTTTAATAAAAACAAAACAATTAGCTGTCTCTTCCAATACTTTGGAATCACAAATCAAAAAAACTTTATCTTCCTTCGTTCTGCTAAGAAGTTCTGCTTCGTTCTGTTCAGTGAGTGGTAATTACGTTGTTGCCGTCCTCTTCATCTTCAAAGACCTCATCCGCATCTGTGAACTCCGGCGACCTGTGTCCTCTAGTCAATTTTACCCTACACGGCACGATCTTGGGTTTCATTAACGAATAAGTTGCACTAGTTGTTAATTAATTATTAGCTTTTAGGTATGTAGATAAAAATTTGCTTTTGTATTATTCCAGATTATAACTTCATCTCAGTGACAAATTTCTACCAGATCTGTTTAACCGTTCTGGTCTGAATGAGTAACGAATAACTATTCTAAGTGTCCCATTCGTAAACATACTATGATTATTAAATATAGTAAAAGGTATATCACATCATCACATCAACAGCTTATAATAGTCCATTGCTGGACATAGGCCTCTCCTTAGAAAGGAGGTTTTGGCCTACTATACCACGCTGGCCAGACGGGTTGGAATAGGTTTTGTGCCAAGTGTCCTTCTCTTTGCAATGCTGTTGTGCTGCGTAGTTTGCTCCCTTAGTCGGCTCTTACGACACCCACGGGATGAATAGGGGTGGTGACATTCCGTATTCTTAATCCGTCACCACACGGATATACTAGGTACATACTAATACACCTCGTTAAGAACGAAGCATTTCAAAGGCTCACGACAGTTCCAGTGTAAGGTAGGTTCCAGTGTGGGTGCACTGGAACTGTCGTGAGCCTCTGAAATCCATCCTTAATATCAATTAAGTCTTGAAAAAACATAGGTATATACTTTCTCTTTGATGCCAGTCCAGCGACTCTAACAAAAAATGTACAATCGGCAATAGATATCGTATGTCATATGTGAACCTAGTTAATTAATCAACTCAGTTGTAAAACAACTTGTAGCGATTGAAGACTTGTTCTTCGCAGAGCTCATTTTAATACATAACAGGCGTCGTAATTTTATTATCTGAAATTCTTTGATAGAATTTGTCTTGAATAAAAACAAGGCACATTTGACAATCTTCACTTTCACCAAAAGAAACCTTGAAATAATGATAATACTCATTTTAATTCAATAACAACAAGCATCCCCTCGTTCTCGTAGGAAATTCGACATGAAAAGTCTAAACTATACGACATTCATGTCGATCCATCACCACCCCTACACATCCCGTGGGTGTCGTAAGAGCCGACTAAGGGAATTAACTGCGCAGGATAACAGCTGCGCAAAGAGAAAGAAAACTTGAAACAAACCCTACGTCTGGCCAGCGTGGTATAGTAGGCCAAAACCTCCTTTCTAAGGAGAGGCCTATGTCCAGCAATGGACTATTAAGGCTGTTGATGATGAACTTAATTGATAATAATAAGAGACCACTGTTAATATATCCGGTTAAAGGACTTCATTAGATGAATTTCATTGCATACCCACATATACACATACGACTTAAGGTGTTTAACATGTTAGTGTCTGTCCATGGTATTTTGCTTATGACTGTAAGTAGTATAGTAAGTACAACGAGCTAGCGGCGAACAAGCAAAACAGTCGGGCAGAGAAATTGCCGCCGGACATCGGGCTGTGTTCGTGCCAATTAAACCTCCATCCGGCTTATCCGGGACACCGCATTTCAATATAACCATGACGATAGCTACGCAGTCTCTATGTATTTGTACACAAATCTACTCAATGCCTACCTAACCTAACCATTATTGACTTTAATCTCATCACAAATAATAATAAGCCTGTGTTCATCAAAATCAGTCCATCCGTTTAGGAGCTATAATACCACAGACTGAAACTGGCAGGCGCATGGGAACGATGGGGCTTAAAAACAGATAGTGACATAGAGAGTCCCAACCGCTGAGTTTTTCAGACGCGTCTTAGAGGAGACAAATGTAAAAATTTATTTAACAGGCTTATGGGCTGTGTTAATATCGATCTTGTCAATCAGTTTTTGCCTAATAAAAAAGTAGCTTATTATTTTCCCGTTCCATACTACGAGTATAATCAATCTCTGTGCCAACTTTTATCCAGATTTGTTTAGACGTTAATTGTTGTTTCCTTGATTGAATAAAGAAAGAGCGATACATCCGTCCTACCGAACTTTCGCGTTCATGATATTCCTGGGATGCTACCTCTGATACGAATGAAACTAAAGTGTACATGGCCAACAGTAACAGGCTGGTAGATAAATGAAAATGTAAGTGGAAACCTGAAAGGTACCTGAAGTAGATAATGCAATACAAACTTCTAAACTGTATACAGTCTCAATGTGAAAAGTTGAAAGTGATAGAATTCGTAACTTTACCTGTTTACAGACCTTTATGTCGTCGAACGGAAATGTAGAACATATTATGTGAGATTGAGTAAACATGGTTAAATTTGAATAATTATAGAGCAGAGTGACGCTGTGTCGGGCCCGTGGCGCTCCGCCTCACCCTGTCGAGCCATTAGCACTAATACCAAGACACACGCTCATGGCTCCCCACGATTACAACCGTGCATTTTATATACAAATTAATTTGATCTCTGAAGCGCCAGTCTACAATATAATTATCCACTTATTTTGTTATTTATCACGTATAGTCGTGGGATAAATGGCTTTTATTAGCTTACAATAAACAAATTTTGTAAATCAGTTATAACCTACTTCTGATATTGTCGTACTTACATCAAACTTTGTATTTTGTATATGTATGTATTGTATATGAATGTAGTTTAGATGACAATATTATGGGCATCTTAAAGTAGATCTGACAATGGCGCTAGTAGATGGATAGTTAAACCTCTATACGGCTAATAGTAACCCGCCATTTGTTGTAAGTCAGATAAGAGGTAACGATGGTGTATTGATGGAGCCAGAAAGCAGATAGGATAAATCATTTTTACTTTTTCATTCGGTTCTCTATCAAAGCTTTTTTTTTTGTTTTTTTTTTCCTAATATAAACATTAAGTTAAAATATTACGTTTCCAAGATTTGTTTCGATTTCCTTTTTCTGATTCGAGTAATTTCTTAAAAAGTTGTAACTTCTTGACAAACACTATTTGACTAATTTCGGGGCAAACTGTTTTTTCATAACCGCGACATTGTGCGAGCCGCTCATAATTACACAGTGTTTTTACCCTTTTTTTCCGTGCGGAAATTCCCTCGGATACCAATACCGGTGGCATGTCGGACTCGAACCGACTAAAACCGCACGCCGTCTCGGATACTAATAGCCGGGGAACCAGGTATACCCTAGAAAGGAAGTCCCTGGTGCCCCGACATACCTCGGGCCATCTACAGACGAGTAGACGACCCCCCCCCCGTGTGGGAACCCCATGTTCCCTCTGCTCCCTGGAAGCGAGCGCGCTTCGCAACGCGTTCGCCGCCACTCCGGCCTGCTTCTGCTAGGGTGACTGATGGCCTCACCTGTCACCCCCAGGCCTGCGCTTATGGAGGACGGAGATCGTTCTGCGACCTCCGGCGCCTAGTGTTTTTACCCTGCGTATGATCGCCGTGGGTACATTATTTACCCTTATTATTAGAAGGGTTAGACATATTTTTATGAGAAACAATAATGAAATCTGTTACGACCCCGTCTGGATATATGTCCAATAGATTTGCCTTGTATTGATGCAAAAATTTGGTTTTTGAAATCATTTGACAATCACCCCTCTGCTGCATTGATGTCGTAGTGGTCTAAGCAGTCACCTCGCCGCTGTCTACTGCGCTGAGTGTTGTGTGTTCGATCCCCACATGGGACAACAATTTGTGTGATCCCTAAATTGTTGTTCTGAGTTTGGGTGTTCTTTATGTCCGTTTCATGTATGTTTGGAAAGTCCCCAGCGACACAAGATTTATTCCTAATAAGGGACCTGTCTTTTAAAAAAAAAAAAACAGAACCCATCTCAAACGTGATTTCCTCCGTGCATTTCTAACGATTTGATAGCTTTTTTTTGGTTTTTCTGTATATCTCTGATTCTAATTCGTGTAAGAATACTTATTAGGACAAGCTTTTTTATTTGAGGCTTTACCTGGATTTATTGTTTCAGTTGGAAGGATGATATTCTTGAACATTTAACTTAATCCTTACTCGTTTTTTTTTTCTGTGCGGTAATCCCCTCGGCTACCACTTATCGGTGGCAATGTCGGCCTCGAACCGACTAAAACCGCACGCCGTCTCAGGTACCAGTAGTCGGGGAACCAAGTGTACCATAGAAAGGAAATCCCTAAGATAAATAATAGGTTATTCTAGAAGGTCAGTTACCATGTTAATTTAAACCCTATAGTTTGAATTTATGATGCATTTATGAAACATATGTAAAAATCAGTTTGATTTTTACATATGTTTCATATGTCTACCGATGGGTTTATAATCAGGGCACTTTCGTAGTACATGGTGTAATATAGTGATTTCTCTGAGTGTAACGACGATAAACACAAATACATTGTTTATGTTTTAGTACACCGCGGAACGAGATCACATGCTGAAGATTTACTACATGTGTACAATAGCGGTGTACATTGCCGGCGTCGGTGCACAACTGATGTCGTTCAACCTGTAAGTCTGGGTATCTTTTATTTGTTTATACACCAAAGTGAAACTATACAATGCCAAACTTAAAGGATTCTCTACCAATCTGCCTTTGGGTTTAATGAGTGATACTTAAAGTTGAAAAAAAGGACCAATTAGATACATATGCACATATATATTTAAATACGTATACATACATATATGCTCTTTTTTAATTTCATAGTGAAAATTACATCGTCGATACCTACATTTTGGCACGAAAGCTTCTTATTATTCATAAACAGATAACATTTATGTGAATGCTACAGTTTATTTTAGATTAAGATTACCCCTCCCGAGCTGGTTAGAACGCTTAAACGTTGAGTAATAGGCACGAGGAATGGAAGGAGGAATTGATGAGTGTACCCCTTTTTTTATCAAAGACCATTACTTTGCTTAGTCTTTCTAAATCAGTGACCAGATCACTTTTAGATGGAGAGATCCTAAAAAACAGACACTCCCAAACCGTCTCTTAAAAAGGCTTATCTCGGCTGTATTATTATATGATACGGGGAAAAACGAGCTGACAGCCTACAAGATGGTAAGTGACTGTGAAATAATGTAAGTGACATGAACAGCTGTCGGAGCCGTCGCCCACTGCGTGGTCTCTCCCAACCCAGATTGAGAGGAGAGGGGATGGGTAAATCCTATATCTTCACTCAGTATGTAAAAAGAAAGAGGAAAAAAATGCTTAACCTAGTTAGAGACCGTAGTGTCCGTGTGCCGAAGCATGGCCTTACCGTGGACAATGGGTTGCTCCAAGATTTTAAATAAATATTAAAAACACGATTGTGAACTCAGTGGAAGGTAACAGACATTTTTGTGTGCAGCTCTCCGGCTGGCATCGCGAGCATACTCTTCAGTGGAGTCATCATCTTCTCCCTCACCTATCTCGTCCTTTGCATCGATTTCGAGGTAATTGTGTGATCATAATGTTTTTAAGTAATAATAGCAAAATGGCGTCAAAGTAACTCTTATACAAACACACCACAGTTATTTGACATGGTCATAGAACTCATTGTAAAAAGGTAAACTAACTGCATCTCGTATTTTACAGTTATTTTAATGAAAATTCGGTGTAGACCATTAAATAAACCTAGAACAAACATTAAAACGAGCCTGCGTCACCATGCAGAGATATTGCTTGTAGAAATTACTACTGTGCAGCTTTTTGAGACACTTTTTGCCCCGCACAACCAATCTGTGGAACGGGTTATCGTCTGCGGTATTTCCGGACCGATACCGGACCTTCGAACCTTTAAAAAAGAGCGTACTCCTAAAAGGCCGGCAACGCGTTTGTGACTCCTGAGTTGCAGACGTTCATGAGCGGCGATGGTCACGTTCCATCAGGCGACCCGATTGCTCGTCTGCACCATCTAACATAAAAAAGAAATAGATCGGTACACCAAAATTATCTTAATGATTGTGATAACTGATTAACGTGAAACAAGTTCAATTTAACAAAATCCCTTTAATATCAAAACGTCTAACTACAAAGCATAGTTCACAATACTCATAAAATATTGTCGTCAATGAATCATAAGCTATTTTCATGAACTATGTGAATAAGTCGAGTAAGAATATCTATAATAGGACCCAGCTCTGAGATCTCTGATAATTACTAATATAATAGATTAAAATTCTAATGTTTGTATGTTTGTGCAGCACACGAACGTGAGACTGAAGCGTATGGCACACCGCGTGCACCACAACCGCACGCTCGCACAACTAACGTCATTCGCCGTCGTGTTCGTTTTCATCCTCCAGATCCAAGTCGTCATGGTAAGTTGACTAATATTACCTAGCTCCGTATATCAAGTCTCCTCCTCTTAGAAGACTATGTATGTATGTCTATATATCTGACAGATTAGAGAACGATGGTACATTTATCTTGTGTAGTTCTATCTGTAGTGGGAAAAGTTACCAACTCATAAAATATTTTTGAACCCGGAGTTGATAAATCATAATATCTAATTATAGTAATACTAAAATGAGACAAGAATTGAGACATAATACAAAAGCATTTTCAAAAAAACATTACCTAATTCAAAACTTGCAGGAATCCCCTCTAGATTTTTGCTAAATTAAACTTTACTGATTTTGTATGGTATCAATGGTTAGGTAATTTTACGAGCATTTATTCTTGGTGTTGCCATACATCAAAATTTATTAAAATATTTTTATATATATAATAATAATAATTTGGTTTTTCTACATGTGTTTGGTGTTGTAGGTACAAGGCCTATTTGATGTCAACCGTGAAGCTGGAGAGAGAGGTGGGAAGAAGTCGGAATTCTGCGCCTATGATATGAATGAGGTAAGGCTCTTGGCCAATGTGTTCGGATACGAAGATGTGCCCACGAATAGAGAACTAATTATACAGTCTTAAACACTGTTCTAAAGTTGCCTGATTATCGGCTTTTATTGGATTCAGTTTGGTGAGTGTCCAAAAGGACCCTGGGTCTTTCCTACAACGGACTACTACACGCAGACGCAGTATACGTATACTGAAGTGAAAAGTTGTATCACACATAACACTGTACACGTTCCAAAAATTTTGGAAAAAGTAATAGTCGGTAGGTGCAAGGTCTGGTGGTCACATCTGCAACCAGCTTTGGTCAATCGGTCGTGCCCACTGCTCCTTCACGACAACGCGCGACCCCATACTGCGCAACAGACAGTCTCCAAGCTGCAAGAGCTGGGGTTGGAAGCTTTCTCTCATCCGCCATACTCACCAGACCTTGCACCTACCGACTATTACTTTTTCCAAAATTTAGACAACTTTTTAGTAAATAAAAAATTCAATTCTCGAGAGGCAGTACAAAATTCCTTTGAAGAGTTTGTTGCCTCCCGTCCAGCAGATTTTTACAAGAAGGGCATCAATAAACTGCCAATGCGGTGGCAAAGATGCGACGATTGCATGGGTGATTACTTCGAATAACAGAAATAAAAAAGTTTGAAAAAATAAGTACTTTCACTTATTGCATACAAAACGGCAATTTCATAGGTAAAGACCTAATATAATAAAAATAATATATCGGTGGTCTACTATCTTTTATATTTTTAAATATATTTGAAAATGTTATCAATATGTATAAGTATATAATGTAATAAAGAGAATAATAATATATTATTTACTTCAGAGTAAGTTTTTATAGTTACATACATTATGTATCTAATGTTATAAATAAGAATCTTCCGAAAATTTACTTTCTCAATACAAAGGGAAAAAATTGTTTAACTACAACAAACAGAGTTAACTAGATCACAGAAGCAGGGATAGCAGTATCTTTGAGATTTTATAGTAAACATATGCACTGCTCTTCAGCACTACCTACAACTGACGCTGATGGCGATGTTCCTGTGCGCTGTACACCAAATCCTCATCACCATGGTGAAGCTGTTCCTCCTGCTCGCCACTTGCATTACCTACATAGTCATCAGCACGCAGGAGCACATCGACAACGTTGAACCAGCTCAGGATTATGAGTCAGTACCCCTTACAGTTCAACGAACTAAAGAATTAACAAACTATATTTCACTGTAACATGCATTAACGTATATCACTGTATGTATGATTAGTTCTACCATCTACATAGTTCTACCATCCGTCAACAATGCATCTAGTAAAATTGCAAACAGCTAGTCTTTTGACTATTTAAGTTATTTTCATTTAAAAACGATGAAAACCCTCAAATAAAAGGCCGGCAACGCGTTTGTGACTCCTGAGTTGCAGACCGTAATGGGCGGCGATGGTCACTTTCCATCAGGTGACCCGTCTGCCCTCTAACATAAAAAAAGCGGTTAGTAAATGTTTTTAGATTCAGATAAAAAAATAAAAACTGCATTGGAAAGTATATTTTTTAGTTCAACGCCATCTATATTATCATTTTAAAACTAAGTTCTAACAGAAATCATGATGACAAAGTTGGCTAAAGAATAGTTAGCGGCATCTGTCGAATAAATTAAACCAACGTTTTTAAATTTACAAGAGCCGATTTTTAATATTCACTCACATATTAACTCATATGTTACATTATATGTTGGTGAACAGTCTTAAGTCGTAAAGTTGAATAGTATAAAACAGAGTTGCGTTAAAACAGGAACCGATGCGGACTAGATTGGGACCAACAATGGACTAACATCGCCATTGCGCTCGGTGCCACGGTGGCGCTGCTGTTGCACTCCCAACAAACAGAGAGCACTTACAGACTGGACTTCATCTGGAAACTACAGGCTAACGGTACGTTTTTATAGCCTTAACCTTTTTCCCCATAAATTCACTTTACCACATAATCAAGGTATTAACGTTTTGTACATTATCTATACTTATATTTTAACAATGGTGTACAGTGTACAATTAAGTGTATGATCTTGTCTGTTCCAATTTGTTCACAAACCTGCCGTAACTACCGTCATTGTCGATCCATCACACATAATAAGAAAGGTATTTATTTACCTCCGGTACTAAGTAAACTAAAGATTTAGTGCTGAAAACCTTCCACATTGTTTATATGTTTAGTACGTATAGATATTTTGGTCTGCAATATGATGAACATGTAAAAGTCGGTGACCGTACAGTTATAGTAAAATTTTTGGTTATTGGATCCAGATGAGAAGGAAGAAATGGAACACCTCGAAGCGTACAACCGCAAGTTGCTGGCGAACATTCTTCCTGAGCACGTGGCACAACACTTCCTCAACAGTGACAAGAATATCGATGTAAGAACACCATCTGTTGCAACACTAAATTAAATTCGTCCGTAACACAGCCTGTTGTTAATGATTGTTGTTCATTCCAGGAACTGTACCATGAACAATGCGAGTCTGTGTGCGTAATGTTTGCATCCATCCCGAATTTCTCCGAGTTTTATGTGGAACTCGAGGGAAATAACGAGGGCGTGGAGTGCTTGCGCCTCCTTAACGAAATTATTGCCGATTTTGACGAAATCCTTGCCGAGGAACAGTTCCGTTACATTGAAAAGATTAAAAGCACTGGCGCTACGTATATGGCTGCGTCAGGTTTGTTGCAACTTATTTCATAATCACCGGACCATGAATCCAACATCCCGACACGTAAAATACTAAATGAACTTATTCAATATGGAAATATTCTCTCTATTCTACCATGTTAACAATATTCTGCTCTGAATTTGTAGGTCTGACAGCGGCTACCCGGGATCTCCACGGATACCGTCACGTGACTGCAATGGCAGACTACGCACTGCGGCTTCGAGAGCAACTGCAATATGTCAACGAGCACTCATTCAACAGCTTCCGCATTCGGATCGGTAAGTTACGCGCAACAAGCTCAAGCCCAAGCAAATGCGAAAGGCGAATGTTGCTCAAATGCTCTGGCGAATTTTGTCTTTTCTGTCATATAAGTGAGGTACGATGTCTGTAATTTTGCGCAGGCATCAACATCGGCCCGGTGGTAGCTGGAGTCATCGGGGCACGCAAACCTCAGTACGACATCTGGGGTAATGCTGTTAACGTAGCCTCGCGGATGGATTCCACTGGAGTGCTCGATCAAATACAGGTCTGCATACTCTACGTTACCTAAAACTTCATGATAATATTCATAATATATGCGATTATTCCTATGTAACCTAAAGCTTGCGCGATAAACAACCGTTTGTTCCACAGGGTTTAGATTTATTTTGCTGTGCGATTGTGGTACCACAATAAACGTAGGCGCTATGTGAGTTTTATTACTTCTGAAATATGTGCTGCAGCGAAACTGCACTTCTCTTATCTCAATCTTTAGAAACAATCGTACAAGAGGCATGGCAGACAAACAGCAATAAACTAATGCTACATGCCATCGGCTGGGACCTTAGGAACCGTTGGTCAGAACCACGCCTTCTATCGTTTCCATAACGAGCTCTATTCATGTGAGCTTCGAGCCATACGGCACAGGGTATATATGATTGGGAGTGGCTGTTATTCAGGTAACTCAGGAGGTGTATGAGATCCTGTCTTCCCGAGGCTACAAACTACGATGCCGCGGGAACGTCGACGTGAAAGGAAAAGGAAATATGGTTACCTTCTTCCTCGATGGGGTCGGCGATTCCGAATCCTTCCGCGCTAGGGAAGCGGCATGTAACGCTCAAGCCCAAGATATCTACAGGGTGAGTTCATCTTTTCTCACTTGTGTGTCAACTAAAATTTACTTTCGAATTTTCACATAATATATCGAAAATTGACTGCTTTGAAAATTTTCTACACTCGTATAAACAAAAAAGACATACCACACGATGTTGGTGTTGGTGCAGGATAGCTGGATTCTGATCCCGTCTCTTATCTGGATCATCGGCTACTATAAAGAAAAAATATATCCGATCTTTGTCTGTCACTGTAACTAATCTACCGGGACATATTCATTAATATTACTTTATTTTTTTAGAATCCACAGCCATCTACTTCTGGGGAAAGCACTGTAAAAGTCGATGCAAAAGTCAATACCGAAGTCGATGCTAAAGTCGATGCAACGTTCAATGAGGAACCTGGAAGCAGCAGCCGCCCTACCCGCCCTCTCGAGACTCTCTCGGAGGGACATACTGATGAGGAACCCGGACCATCCCCCAGGGCATCTAGTCCAAGTGGTACGATTTTAATTTTAAATATATAATCTTTAAAATATCTGTAGTACATAATGTTGATAACTTACTTAATACTATATTTAATATTAATGATCTCTGTTTATGAAAGCAAGGTCATTAGATCGTTGTCTCTTATTTTATTCCCGTTATAGTTGGGACTTATTAAAAATTTATAATAATAAATCCCTTTTTATGAATTAGCTACTTCGAGAGATATATATTCTGCTACCGGTAGCATCAGATACTACTGTGATGTCAGCTGCGGCATGTACGGATTGGGGGATATAGCAAAAGTCCAAACTCTGCAAGCGTCGACACTAGCGATTTCTCCGTCAACTGTCGCCCGATATCTTTTGACTTGTCAAATGTCGAGCAACTATGTCCTAGGATTTCCAGACTGTCGCGTGTTTCAGACCATCATATGCCTCTACGACATATCCTCTAGTGAAAACATGGCTGACATTATTTTATTATAATATTTCAGAAATTAAGAACGGCGACGTTAATGGACCAGTAGCCTCCGGCAGCGCGTCGCGCGAGAGTGTCGTGCAGGCGGTGCGATCACGAGTACAGCAGCGCCTGGAGCGGCCGATGTCACTGGCCGACCAGACTGGCCTGCCCACACTCTACTCGTTACTAAACTCCCGCGCTTATTCCACCGAATTCGACGCTGCAAAAACCACCAATAAGAACAACCTTTCACTGAGCGATGTAAAGACGGCCGTAGCGACTACGCGCAGCAACGGCGAGATCGAATCCCTACTTGAAGCAGAACCTCGGCGAGCTAATAGTCTCGCCGACTTCTTGTTCCGAAGACGGAACAATCGCAACAACGCTGTCGTCAACGTTATCGAGAACCCTATGCACTCGATGCTTGACGCTACTGACGCCTCGGATGAGGCCACTGCCTAAGCACGTTACCTTCCCGGACTAAATAATGTTACTATATATATAGGCTCGCCCATGACTAAGAACCACAACCAACCCTATCTGAGCCCAGAAGGTGCTTCGAGACAAATTTGTATGTGACGTCCGCCGAAAATTCGATGCATTTTGAGAGCCATCCCGCTACATCATATATAATATGGCTTCTCACTTCCATTTCTAATAAAGATGTACTTATCTTAAATTTTTAATAATGATTTTACACATCGAGTTGCAATTTCTATCAAAAACTGAAAAATGAATCGAATATTCTATTGGTATGGCCTCAAAGAGCATTGTGGTGGCAAATACCCCTGTAGTGACAAATCTTGACAAATCAAATGCTTATCTTGCCGTCTAGTCCAGTTACTAGCCTTGGCGGGACCACCGATACCGGACTCTACGACTGACTCTGATGTTTATCACTCTGACGTGTGTCGCGCTAAATCCGGGCCATACGGACATTTGTACAGACGCCGGACATGGGCCCGACCGAACAACTCACGGAAAAGACGTAAAATCGCGCATGTGTCGCGAAGAACAATAAAACTTAATTAGTTCGTGTTTGTGTACAGCGATGTGACCTCATGTGAGTGAGAACTGTCTATGCACAGAGTGTTTGCCAAGTGAACAATGCACCCGTACACAAACCTGTTGGATTTTATTCACTTAAGAGTATCAATATTCTCAATAGCACCCAATATAACTTTTACTCCCAGGTTTTTGCTGTATGAAATGAAATGTCTTTTGGTCACCACTCCTTATCGGATTTGTTACAAAAGCTGAACTGGTTATAGACTGATTAGTAATGGATATTCCCGGTTTTGTATTAACATCGTAAACCTCAAAGGGAATGCGGTAATGCTGTTCAGTTGTTGTTCAGTGGTCACGGGGTGGTGATCACAATTACTGAATGGATGTATTTGATGTTCTGCTTCTGATCGCATTTCACTCGCACTAAACATCCCCTTCCCGCTGAATACACACATTATAATTGTATCGTAATTAATTAAACGAGCTTATATTAACTCATGTGTTTTTAGTCAAGTAAGATGGAACATGTGCGAGCCTTTCCAGCGCCGGCGCGCTTCGCCCTTTGAGCTTGCAGTTGATTGGCATTAACTTGAATGGGTTGTTAAGCAAACAGATTTTGGTGCTTTCTGAGGTGAACGCTCAAAGTGGGATCCTCTCCAGGTAAAACCTTGAATGTATAAAACCTTGCAGTGTTGAGTTTTGAACCGCTGGCGCTGGAACGAACAATCTCAAATTTAGCCGTAAGAACTGACGATGTTATGAAAGTTTCTAGTTTTTAATTAGTACTTAACCTGTGTCTATTATAGTTATAATATTATCTGAAGTAGGCTTAACATAACAACTCTTAGAACAAATATTGGATGTAGTGTCACGTTCCGTTTGTGGCAGCTCTACTGCGGGCCCTCGACTCGACAAGCTCGCGCCGGTCTAATATGTTCTTATCGCTGATCTCTCCTTAAAGTCCTATAGATGAATACCACCACCTTGATGTCAGCTAAATGCTGCTTTTCTTAACCGCAGGCGACGGCAACAATTACTCTTGTTGCCGTCAAAGTCCGACTCATCTATGCGAACCCTTACTGAGATTACGTAGACAGAACTCTTAGCAAATAAATGCTTCAATATAAACACAGTCGTGAAGATACTCTTTGAAGATCTCCGTCCGTGTATGAACCGTGAGCGTGTCGAGTTCCAGCCCACTCTGTTGCGGGTAAATGGTCTCATCAACCAAATATACTAGCCAAATAATTAAGTCATATACGTATACGAACAATATTCTATATTACAACCACATATATTCATATTCGTGTAGCATAATCATACTGATAGACACACTATCGAAGTGGATGGTTCTGACATTTGTATACATTGACGGCTCAAATAGAATGTTTAGGTAATGGTTGCGTACGGAGTGGCAATGTACTGATATTATATGTACATTTAAAGTTTTAGTACGATAGTGTGTCGTCTTAATATGACATGAATTTAAACTATTCTCTAGAATTATTAATGTTAGGACGTAAGCTCTGTTTATTCGCTTCATAACGTTTATAAATATACTTCAATCAATCAATGTTAGTGAATAGGTTATTTTTACTATTTTGCATTTACTCTGAGAGAATCTTTGGACAACATTCATTAATATATTACTGATTATTTTGCATGGTGTCCGTTAACCATTTGTTTATATCTCAGCACCCTACTGGCCTATCTTCGATCAAACTCCCGGGTCCAAGCTTTATACGACTATTTAATGTTAAATGTATCACAAAACGCAAAATTGAAACAAAAAATCTTTGTTTCTTATTCAGCTCATAATATTTAACTTAGAATAGACCCCGTCTATGTTCGGAACACGTGCGCACTGATTCGACAGAATTCGTGGGGCAGAGTTTTTAGTTCGCAAAAAATCTGATTTTGTACGGAGTAATAATTCTGTAGATGACAACACTTCATCTACTTACAACAAGACTCGCGTTCTAAGTCTTTTCTTTCGTCTTGCACAACATATTGAGACACTGGAGCTCGTTTTTAAGCCAAACAATATACTTAAATTATATATTTAAATTAAATAATGATAGAATCAATACACTAGATCGCAGAAATGTCGCACATACATATTTCCTTCTTACCTAGTGTCTATTTTTAGCTTTTCGTGTACACAATGCTCCTCGGCTCCAGTGACTCGATCCCACAGACAAACACACAAACATACTTGTGTGTTACGTACACAAACACACATACGGACGCAAACATACACAGACACATACACAGACACACACACACACACACACAAAATTACATACACGTAGACACGCATACATACACCCAAAAACACATTATTTTACATAGACGTAATGGTTAAGTGTAGGTATGTTGGTTCGCTGTAATTAGGGACATATATGTTATACAGTGTTGTATCAGTAGTTTCATTACTTATATTGTATTGTATCGTATTTAATCATCGGACGCTTATTTCTTTGTCCTTATTTTCATTGTGATATCGTACTGAAACGAAATTGTTTAATTAATTTAAGGTTAGGTGACTTTACCAAAATTGTCGTTACAGCGGTTGCTATAGTGGCCCCTTATATATTATGGCACAATAAATTATTATAATAATGACATAATGTTAATACACATATATATAATAATCAATATAGACCTAGCTATATATATTTACACATTTCTATTTACAAAATTGTGATCTTTAATATTTTGGGCCAAGAATTCGGAACCCTTTCTTTTAAATTTAATTAGGACGAAATTTAAGGTATTTTTGATGTGTCGTATACCTACTATATACTTTAAATTAGTAATTAGAAGGTGCCAACCGAGGGAAGCTCCGCCACGTGCGCGCCTCTCGGAACAACTCACGCGACCGCACACAACCACATCGAAATAGACCGACTCCTAACGTATGTCCTCCTAACCACTTTATATGTTAGAAACTTTACCAAATATTTGACCAAATGCATGAATTAGTTCCTAATGTTCGATCGCGCGTCCCATGTATATGTACTTAAAAAAATTTAAACTTCTCTCGAGCTCACAGTTTTTTTTCCCTGTATCATTGGTTTTTATTATCACTTTATCGAGTGTCTTTAGTATAGCTGTTAAGCCGCCTCGATCACTAACTAGGATCACATTTTGAAAATAATGAATCAAATCCATGTGCTATTTGAAATAATCATTGTTTTTTTTTATATCAACAGTGTTGCCACCAAACATCTTGAATACGCAAAAGTCTGACTAATGCGTCAGCTGATTAATCCTTATCTAAATTGTCATTTTCAAATTGTATCGCGTGTGTCGAGGCGGCGTTTCGTGTACTTAATATATTTGTTAGTGTAAATGTCATAGTTCCTGGATTTCGTTTTCCTAAATAACTATATGTGCCAATAATACTCCGAGTAGAAAGAAGTGAATGACGCGTTCACATCACCGCGCTACTAAATATTTGTTTGACACATATTCATCAATATCTTTGAATGAAAATGGATACAATGATCACTACAGTTTTCCTAATTAGGCTCTTCGGACATCATGAGTCGCTCACACTAGAAGCTGGCATATCTGCTTGTGTGTAGGATATACTTCCGTTTTGTCAAATATATACAACAGTAAGTGCAGATCGGATCGCGTCGTCCCGCAGTACTGCACCTCCATGTAGTGCACTACTAAATGTTTAGACTTTTATTGTACGTAGAATGTTTAATATTAATTGTATCGCTATAATATTCTCGAATAAGTTTGTTGTTGTAAGTCATAGGAGCGTTCAATAGCCTGGATTGTGCAGCATTGTCGGATGGCACACATACATACGTGAATCAACAACACATCTACATAGTAAAAGAAATTCCCGCGCTGTCATGTTGCAGATTGATATCAGATAGTTGTCTACCGCGGCAGTCGCTCCCGAGCAAGGATCGTTATATTTAACTTACTTTTATAATAAAACCGCTTTACTAGCTTTGTAGTAGCACAGATAAGGTCTCCACCTACTGCACACTTCAACACACGAGCACTCGCCGAGATGAAGTCAGATTTTTTAAACGTGGGCAGAGATGTTATCAGCGTAATAGTTCAGCAATCAGCCAATTAATATTCACAGATTCGTTTCCAGACAGATTTCTGACTGGAGTACGAGTCTTTTAGCTACAATAGGTATGTCTATTTTAAACTATCTTCAATGTCACATTTACTGATCGGTTATACGCATTATTATTGTATCCAAAGTACGCTATGCTGTTTCGGTGAGAAGCACTTGTTAGGTTAAGTAGGTACCTATGTTTAGTTGCTGCAGGCCTAATCTCACCACCATGATCGTTATACAACAATGACGTACTATCTACGAGTATATCACACCTTTATCTACTTTGAAATCTGTTACATCAATGGTTTTATGTGTAATTAAAATAGTTGCCGTTTTAAACAAATTATTTTTGAGCTTA